GAGCTTGCTGAACTTGCTGGACTTGCCGAGCTTGCTGAACTTGCTGGACTTGCCGAGCTTGCTGAATTTGCTGAACTTGCTGAACTTGCTGAACTTTCGCTTGATGCGGACGTTGCTGGCCCAGATAACATTGAAGACATTGACAGAGTAGAAGACGCCGTAGAGGACGATGCTATGCTGGAGGAGAGTGTTATTGGGGGAGAAGGACTGGTCTGGGTCCCTGGACCTATGGAGTCTATGCCTGAGGACGATGTCAGAGAGGAAGAAAGACTAGCCTGGATCCCTAAACCTAGGGAGTCTATGCCTGAGGACAATGTCAGAGAGGAAGATGGGCTGGCCTGGGTCCCTGGGCCTATGGAGTCCATGCTGGAGCTTATAGCAGACGGCTCATAAGGCATCGAGCTATATTGGAACAGGGAAGAAGTCGAAACAGATGAGAGGTCCCTTGAAAGCGGGAGATTTTCCTGGGGATAACAAAGACCCCACTCGAGATTGCAGCCATATCCGCAGGAGTCTGCAGATGAACTACATTTGCCGTTTGGTCTAAGTATGCGTCAGTTGCAGTGAGTTATGATTTCTAAATTCACATACCCGCAGCAATTTCCAAATCCAGAACCGAGGCAGGTTGCACCTGTAGTCCCTCCACACTGTCCATTTGTGGATATTATTTTCTCACATCCTGCAATAGGATACTGCGAAGATCGACAGCGAGCAGGCTTTGTAAGGTGGCGAGTAGGAGCTTGGGACGGGATATAGTAAGGTGAGGGACTATGGTGTGGTCTGGGGGCAGGGTGCTCAAACGTATGGTGCTTGGGAGCAGGGTACTTGGGAGCAGAGTGCTTGGGAGTAGAGTGCTCGGGTGCATGGTGCTTCACTGCATGGTGCTCAGGAGCGGGGTACTCAGCTAGGATCTTAGGAAAGAGAGCAAATACTGTGATGGCAAAAGCAATATGACGCATCTTGAGACCAATGAATGGGGCAGAAGGGCAGGGTCTGAAACGGTGTTGAGGAACTAGGTTGCCTCGCTTTGGACTATATATGTTCACCATATTGAGAACGGCTTAGTCCTCGCTAATCTTTTTGCCCGAGTATTGCATTCAGGGCTCACCTGGTGAGTTTGGTATATCACAGGATCGTAACTGATTGTTCAGTCTGCATAGCTGATGAGGACTAGATTGTCAAGGGAGATTGGTTATTTACATAGCTTCGCTCTACGTGATACAAAGCTAGGCAGCACGATTGGAAATACTTTGTCCGATGGCAAATGGAATGTTTGAGCTACCCTATACTATGATAGGATACGTAGACATGGATATGCGCAATGATAGGTCAATATTAAAGCTTGATGCTCGCTTGCGAAGTTGTGGAATTTGTCCAGCTTCTCTTGGGGTCGGAGACACTCGGATTATCGACTGCGCTCCAGCGTACATGGCGCAGTCTTGTTTCACAACGAAAAGACCAGGAATGTTATGTGTCTAAACTGAATGTAGGAACTCGATTCATATCGGCATAGGGCTACGGGAACTTGTCAAAGTAGTTTAAGAAAGATGTTGATAGATATAAGATCAGACATATAGTCGATGGAGCCACTTCAGCGCAAGTTCTAAGCGGAGACTTAGTTTACTAGACAACAAACCTACCTCTACGCGACAGTATCAAGCAAATTAGATTCACGCTGCAGCTAATAAACGCCTAATTTTCCCTTCTAGTATAGCTAGTTATATTTAAGCCCCCTGCATCAGAATAACGCGCTTCCCTACCTCTTACTCTTGTAATAACGCGCTTATAATACACTAATAATATATATATACACCTCCTAAGTTATAGCTGCATATATAAGCTCTTAGTATTACTATACTATATACTACACACTTTTTCCTACGAATATAATTCGAATAGAGGATACGAAGAGGGTGCAGTATTCGCTGCTAAATTTTATGCAGACCTCTCTAACTCTTAGCTAGGGGGACTCGAACCCTTATAATAATGATTAAAAGTCATACACTTTACCAATTAAGCCAAGATCTCTCTAATTTTTTTTACTTATTGTTAGTAAGTAATAAGAAATAAGTGATTTGAACACTTAACCTGCCGCGTGTAAAATGAATGCTCTACCAATTAAGCTAATTTCTTTTTTGTTGGGCTTTATCTTAGGGCTAGATTCTTATGAAACTCCTATTGTGGTCAACCCAAGCATTAAGTCACTTAATACACTTGCTTAGTTATCAAACTTTCCCAACTTCGAACCGAACTCTCTCATAGAATGCACCCCAAAGCCAAGCAACTAGACGATATCGATCGGCCTACTTCACTCACTCGCCTAGCACGACTTTTACAACGTGCAGCTTCGTATTGCAACTACGCTATATTAATTAAAGTTTCTACACGTTACAGAAGGGAAGTGGGGTGCGCAACTTGCATCATCATTCGCTTAGCAAGTACGTTTTTGTATGAACTAGGATGTACACTGATGACGTGGCAAACATTAATGTCTGTGTGAGCCTCGCTTATTGGTAGAACAAGGTACGATATCTACGCTTCGTGAGCTTGTATGCATGCGTGAGCTGACGTGGCAAACAATAAGTGTGTAAGCTTAGGGCATGAAATCAGTGATTACAGTGATAATATTTTTTACTTTTCTTGCAAATAAGCTATTATACGCAACCTTATAGAGTTGTAAACTCAGAACAAAAAATGCTCTCGTACATACCTTTCGTACTATTCAACCCATACTTTGCGAATGTTGCACTCGGAAAAACACACAGCTTCAACTGCACTCTTCCTCCCGATGATTCACACTATGTCGGAGGCGTCAATGTCCGATCAACCCTCAGTATCTTTTGGAGCGCTGTGTATACAGTGTTTGCTTGTACTTGGGCTGTTCAGCACCTTAACATTCCCCCTCTTGAACAACGTACATCTGATCCCGACTGGAAGCATTTTTGGAAAATCAGGATACCGGCATCCTTTTGGACGAGATTGAAATGGATGTTGCTCACGATAATCATGCCGGAGTACTTGCTTGGCAGAGCGCTGAGCGATCTCGTCGATGCAAACAGATTCAAAAAGTCCACAAAAGAGCAAGGACTTCACAAATGGACAATGACACACGGATACTATGCCAATATGGGTGGTTTTATCTTTTCACTGCCATCAATACCAATACCAAATCCAGACCACAGTAACTGGAGTGAACATGAAATATCAGATTCAACAAGCGAACCACGCTTGCCTGCAGGGGGAAAAAATTCCTCCGGAAAGGAAGGGGCCGGGCATTCGAGCGCACATGAACACAAAACCTCGCCGATAGGTCCGATCGCAATAAACGCGACACAGTTAAACTACTTACTGAAGGAAAAGATTTTGAACGAAGAGCCCCCAATATCCAAAAACGAAATATGGGACAAGAGTAAAGGCGATGTGTTTGCTAAAATAAGCGCTGTGGTCCAATTGATCTGGCTCGTAACTCAACTCATCACCAGAAAGGTCCTAAATCTTCCTTCAGCACAATTGGAAATATTGGCTCTTGCATTCGCAGTCTGCACTATCTTCACTTGGATCATCTATTGGTCTAAGCCTCAGAACATTCTATCCGCATCGAACATATCATATCATGAGCCCACCTGCAAAGGCAGAGACTTTAGCGATCTTGAAGAACGACTGGAAGAGGATGTCTCGGCCAGTTTCTTCAAGAACGCATTATTACCAGATTCCAAAGATCCCCGTGATCTAGAAGCTATTATACGAAACGACAAGACAAACGTAAATTCTAATTTTCATGAGTTCAACAAAGACAAACCTTATGTATGGTACCTGGACGCTGAGTCTGTAGGGTTTCAAATCGGAGCTGTTATTCTTGGTGTGTGCCATTGCCTTGCATGGAATTTTGAGTTTCCAACACATATTGAGCGTATACTGTGGAGAATTGCTTCGGTATCCATTACTGGTATTATGCCAATTTTTTACTTTCTTTGGTGTTTACTGTCTCATTGGAGCGATAAGCTCAATCCACACTTTGAACACTTTAAGTTACCCTTATCATGGCTTTCATACACATTTTATATAGTAGCTCGACTATACCTTCTCGTAGCTCCATTCAGGGAGTTATTCTTTCTTCCACCTCGAGTTTTTATTGCAACGTGGTCAGCATTATTTCCTCATTTCAGCTAGTGATTTATATAAAAATACTATTCTACTAGAGAAAGTAGTACATTCTATCTATATTAAGTAACCTACTAGATCTACTTAATTTCCTACCTACTACTATAGATATTGGGTTTCTGCCTTTTGCTGGCAAAGTGCCCTGACCGTGAAGGTAGATCTGCCGTCTACTGGGCCGCAAGGGAGAACAAGATGATCACCCTGAAACTTCTAGTCGAGGCTGGTGCTCCAGTAACAGAGGCGGACGTTGGCATTGCGGCGTCAATGGGCAGACATGAGGTGCAGGCTTATCTTAAATCGCGCCTGGCCCCCAGGGAATCTGCTGGGGGGAAATTGCAATCGCTCAGTCAATGGGTCGCAGGCACATTTGAATGGGTCCGCTCTGTACCGTTAAAGACTGAGAAGAGTGTAAGGCTAGACTGATTACGCTCACAATCATTACGAAAGGCTCCGAAAGTCATAGGTATAGATCTGAATAATATTCACCCTTGATCACTCTGCCCCATCCTCGCCAGCTATCACATCATACTCACACCCGTCGCCTCCAACTCTCATATCCCCCCCTATCCCTCCTCCTCGGTGGCCTCGCAGGATCCGCATGCCACTCCCACGTCCCCGCATAGAACCCTATACCTGGAACTTGATCTAAATTCTCTCTCGTTATAGGGTCAGGTTCACGGAAGTTCGGGTTAGCTAGGGCGCCACCAAGAGGGACTAGGGCGAGGTTTTCTGCTGTGAGAGGGTCCGGGCTGGGTCTACAGCAGAAAGTAAGGTAACCAAGCGCGCCGCCTATAGGTACCTGAGCGAGACTTTCGCGCGTGAGGGAGTAGCGGGAGGAAAGGTCGTCGGGCCAGTGGACGTGGGGATGACGGGGCATTGTTTTTGTGTCTGTTCTGAAGCTTACAAGATATGATGAGGAAGTTCTGTCGCGAAGTATTGTGTGTGTACTACGAAGATGATCGAGGAGCAGATTTTAAGAAGGCGGGAGACAGTACAACTAGGAAAACTCCCGCTTCCATTCTGCTTCTATGTGAACGTGGGCTGAGGTTGCGGAGAGTTGCAAGTTTGTGATGCTAGAAAATGTGTGGTGTCGGAAGCCACGTCGTCTATTTGTGCCTTGATCTGCGATCGAGCACATGCGGCTGTAGGTAGGTGCTTCACGCAATTGGCTGTCAATGCAGAATTTCTGTATACACCGGGGGAACCAGGCTTTCGACAATGAAGCGACGTGTATCTTGCGCTATTTTCGAAGTTTGAGCACACCATTTGGCAAGAATTTGGACATTGAATCGTGGGGTATCATATGCTATAGACTTTCCATTCGCAAGCTGGACCGGGAAAAGGGGGTGTTTGTGATTTATTCGCGAGCGGATTCGCGGTCACGACGTGGCGAGCGCGCGCGATAGGGCAGTGGAGAGCGCTTTGATCTTGAGCGGTCATCGTCTGACCCTGACGCACTGCGATGCCTGTCTCTACGGTCGCTGTGGCCGTGGCCGTGGCCGTGGCTCCGCTCGCGACTTCGGTCATGATGGCGCGCTCGCTCCCCTTGTCGAGAACCATCACGATGTTTAGGTTTCCTGTGTTCGCGGTCATCTTCTGGCTCCCGGTCGCGGCTTCTGCGGTGGTCCCGATGTCGTGAATGGCGGTCACCTCGCGGACTTCTTGAGCCGTCCTTGATGCGCCTCCTCTCCTTGTCTCGATGGCGCTCTCGCGATCCATCTCTGCGATTGTGCTTCTCCTTTCTCCGCGCTCGTTCCTTCTCTTTGCGCTTGGCTTTCTTGAGCATCTTGAGCGCATCATCGATCTTCTCTTGCTGGCGCTTGATCATGGAGTCGCGCATCGGATCGTCTTCGTCCAGCTTGTCCATGAGCCGCTCCATCTCCATCTCCTCCGGGAGCATCGGCCTGTCCTCGTCTGACTCGCTGTCCGTGTTACCCTTTCGGCGCTTGCGCATGTCGTCGTCTGTGTCATTCCCAGCATCGAGTTCGAGCTCTCCCATGGTGTTGTCGCGCATATCTTCGTTGTCTTGGGGCTTATATCGCGCATGGTCGACTCTCAGCACGCGGTCCATGACGGTCGACCCGCCGAGGTTGTCGACTGCCAGATCGCAGCTCCTCTGATCCTCGTACTTGAGCCAGGCAAAGCCGCGCGACTTGCCAGTCTCCTTATCACGTGCCAGCTTCACCCACACAGGCTCGCCATACTGAGAGAAGATTGTGATGATGTCACCCTCAGACAGCTCGAAGGGCAGGCCGCCGATGTTGATGAAGGCGGTGTCGCGGTAGTCGGTGTGCCATGAGCCTTCGGGGTTGATACCGGCCTCGAGCTCACGCTTGTTCAGCTGCTGGATGGCGCGGACCGAGTTCATGGTTGGGTGAAGATGTTGTGTGGTGGAGGAGAGCTCGTTTGGAAGGCGCAGTTGTTGACGAGGCAGTCGCGCGAAGGGTGGGGAATCTTATCGCATGATATATCCGACCCAAGATCGTTTCTGACGACGTTTAGCTTGTTGTCAAGTGAGATCAGTTGCGTGGTGTGAAGCTGAGAGTATCCCGCGACTTTTTGAATATCGGCCTTGGCAGGGCCGTTGCGATGCAGGGCCAGAGAGGAGACCCCTGCAACAAAAGCTCCCGAACACATGCACCAAACAACCACGACGGCCAGTACAGCACGCCAGCCCCGCCCATACACCCACCGCATGTCGCATCGCCCCTGCCTATCCTGCTCTGGCTGATCTGCTTCACCTTTATCTCGCGCCTTCCGCGTACGACACCACGCGCGCCCACGCATTGAGACCTCCGCAGCTCCTCCGCAATGGCAAGCGCACGACGCACCTCCAACTTCCCCACACGCGCCCACGGCGGCCATG